TTTTTCAAGAGGTGCTTACACGAGTACTATGTTAAGAGTAGTAGTAACTACTGTAGTAGTGTGCGGTAAGAAATGGCAAGAGCTACACATTATGCATGGCCAAACTCCTCAGTAGACTGGAGCCAGATCTCCCACCAATACCATTTCAAAGCCTGCTGAGTTTGTTTGCCACTGTAATCACCAGGAAAAGTACTTCAAATAACTACCGGATATGGAGTCCCGAATTTTCTCCTTCGATTATACGTGCCCAATAGTCACTGTATGCTCCTGGGTGCAACTGTAGGCAAATGCAAACTTTCTTCTATTACCAATGTTCTACCAAAGTGCCATAGATTTTACACAGACAACCATTTAAAGAACTACCTTTATGGGTTTGTTCCCTAAAATCTGTTAGTGGTGAAACCTTCCTTATGCTCTACCCTCTTCACATAGAATCATAGAATGGTCTGGGTTGTAAAGGCCCTTAAGATCATCTAGTTTCAACCCACCTGCCATGGGCACGGTGGGGGCACCTGTCTCCCAACCATACTTTATGGCTGGGTTTATATCAGGGTTTTTTCTTCAAAGTTCCCCATTTCTCCAGTGGCTGAAGCAAGCCAGAACTGTGCCCACGGCTCCAGTCTGCCCCAATCATTTTAACCCTGGGTGATGTAGACTGTTCAGGGTAACCTTCTGCCAAACCATGACTCCCTGTGATGGCCAATATCTATGCTAGAGGGATGACCAGTGGAAGGGGACCAGTGGAAGGGAACCAGTGGTGTCAACTCACACTTGCAGATGATGCCCTGACCACAGAGCATCAAACACCAAAGTAAGTTGTCTGTCCCTGAAAAAAAGAGACACGATGTCCTCAAAGGGTGTTTTAGGCCATTTCTGACCCACATGAGCCACGGAAGAGTCAATCAAACCCATAAAACCTAAGACAAAGCTCTGAGGTGTCGCCAGTTAAGTGTGGTTATAATGGTTTCTTTCCCAGAATAAACTTCTGCTTCCCATGAAGTCAACAACAAAACTCCTCTCAGGCTTTATTAGAGCCAGGATTTTACCTTGAATTTCCTTTTGATGTTGACCCTTCCCACAGTGCTCATCTCTGCTGATGCAATTGGGTCGTTTGGCCGCATGATGACTTGGCCATTAGTTTAGTACTTGTGACGACAGTTTCACTGTCATTTATCTGGGTGGGATCTCCTCATAGGCAAACTGTACAAACTGTGTTTGATGTTGTGGTAACAAAAACCACCCGTTACTGTTGGTGGATGCAAGACTTGGCCCAGATAAATGCAACATTGGTGGTCTAAAAAAAAGGGGTGAGCTGTTATAGCATAGAATCACAGAATGGTTTGGGTTGGAAAGGACCTTAAGATCATCTAGTTCCAACCCTCTGACATGTGAAGGGGCACCTCACACTAGAACGCACCTGAAAGGACCTTAAGATCATCTAGTTCCAACAGTCTGACATGCGAAGGGGCACCTCACACTAGAACGTACTGCCCTAGGCTCTGTCCAGCCTGCCCTTGAACACTGTCAGAGACGGAGCATTTACCATATCTTTGGGCAGCCTGTTCCAGTGCCTCACCACCCTCACAGTAAAGAGCTTCTTCCTTATACCTAACCTGAACTTCCTCTGTTTTAGTTCAAACCCATTACCCATTGTCCTATTGCTAGTACCAAATTGATTTAAAGGGATTGTCAATCAAACTCTAATCCTGAGGGCTGAGCCACAGCAGGGAGAAAAATACTGCTGTACGTCAAGCCACAAGCCTAGGTGTATTCTTCTCTTGAAAGGCCATTGCTAATGTGACCATTAAAGGGAGCAGGCAATGTCTGAGCTCACCCTCTGACTGCAGCAGTATTCATGCCCTAACCTACAAAATCTCATAGGGATCTGCAGCAGGTCCAGCAACACTGACAGCACCTTGCACCCTGTGTGTCCAGTCCACTATGCTTTAATGAAGCCAAGTCTTTCTCCAGTTAATATCAGGTGGGAGGGCATGCTGAACACCTTCCCAGTTCACCTGGCCTCAGTGGCTGTAATTTAGATCTGTGATTTCCAAATTCCTGTGTGCTACAGAGAATGTCAGTTTAATTTCTGAAGGATAAACCGAGAGTGAAATGCTTTGGTTTCATTCATAACACTCCAAATTACAAGCATTAGTGGAACAGCTTGAGGCTTCAAGTAAACAAGACAAATGGCAGAGTCGAACAGACTCATTACTCTCTTTACATAAGAAACACCGATGCCCGGTAAGATACTAACTCTGTGCAAGCAGCAGGCTGGCCCTTGAGCACAGCAGCAACACCAGGACTAATAAAAATTAGCATCCAAGCAGAATAGTTGTGTTAACGAAGGGCTGCATTAATCAGCTCTGGCAGCCTTTTCAGCTCACACCCAGGGAGGTGCTGATGCAGCTCTACGGCTCCTGGCTCTGGAGGCAGCTCACTCAGCACCAGCACAGTGGGAACTAAGCAGTGTAGCTATGCCTGGTACCAGAATCAGCTCACCTGATTTCCAGCCCCATGCCTCAGTTACTGAAGTCTCCTTTCTCCTCTTTACTGCTAAAAACTATAGGTTTTAATAGGCTGAGGAAAGTATTATTGACTTTGGCACAGCAACATTGAAAATCACCTCTTAAACCTCACTATCCGATCCAGGTAACGTAACGCTTTCCATTACACACTTGCTAATTCAGCATTTCTATTAAGTGTTGAAGAATGGGTGGTTTTGATTATATCTCTGTGGACTAGCTGGAATCAAAGGGAGCATTCCTTTATGTGTATGCACTGACTCTTTCAAAGATGAACAGTTTGTCTGCAACCTCTTTATCTTCACTTCCCTATTGATAAAACTGGGATAGTGCCCCATCAGATGGGTGCTGTGAGGATGCACCACCAGGTGAGAAGTGCTAGCTTCAATGAGCATGAGCGTGGCTGCTTGCAGGACACAGCTGGCTCAAAATGCATTCCTGTCCCTACCTAGGAACCGATCCTTAAGTTTGTTTATGGAACTGTGTTTTTGATACTATCCGTATAAACCAATTAATTAGCTGAAAAGTAACCCATTAGTATAATGCTTTAAATTTACATTAGAGGTTATCCTAAAGAGCTGAATAGTCAAAATAGCTATTACCAGTTCACTATTTAGTCCTCATGTTTATACAGACACACTGTTATTCCAGAATATAGCACTTTATTCTGTCTCAGCTCAATACAGTTTGGAAATGGACTAAACTAGTTACAAGAATCATTTGATTATCCTGCATTTAGGGAGCTCATTGCAAGCAGCTCCCCAGCTTTGCAAACAGCTCCCCAGCTTTGAATGTAGAGTCCACATTAAAATCCTCTGTGGGTAAACCCTTTGGAATTAACATTTTGTAATTACTACATTACAATGATGACTGAAGACATAAACTATCTTCCCTCCCTGTCATACCACGTAAAAGGGATCACATTTATGTCACAGACTTTAAGGTAAATGCGCCACTTGATATTCAGGGGGCACAAAGTGCAGACAGCTTTTAAAGTACAATTTTCAGAACAGATACCTATCTCTCTGTAATATTGGGGTGGATTTACAAGTAGCTGCTCTTCACTTAGAGCTGAGTTATTTTTAGTGAGGGGTCTTCCCTCTCACTAGTTTAGTGAGAAACTTCCCTCTCTATTTAGGGAATGGAAAAATTAATCCTTTGCTAAAAAGCGTAGGGAAGTGATAAATTCAAGTGTTTAACACAACTGAAGAACAACCTTTCCAGTAAAGCTTATTTTCATAGGCTAGGAACAATTATTAGCCTGGATTCTACCTATAAATGTAACATCTATTGACTTGGATGCTACCTGGGACATCTACTTGTTAAAACCAGAAGCATAAAGAAGTGTTGAAAAATAAAACTCTTTCTTGCCTCCCACTTGTGGCAAATAATCTCCTTTATAACGTCCAACTGAGAATGATTCTTAAATTACTGCTCACCAGAGAAAAGTCTGGCATTTCCTGGGATTTCCGAAAAAATGAGAAAGGACATTTTCACTTCTAACTGCCAGGACACAGCATCCAGCTCCCAGAGTGCCTCCAGACCTGCTAGGGACTCCAGGACCTCCTCGGTCACTCATAGCTCCCACCCCAACCCCAAGCCTAGACTCAGAGGAAGTACCCCCAAACTATCTCTATATGTCAAAGATATCAATGACATCTTAAAACCACTCCTATACGTGTTTGAAGCTCATGTTGTAGAGCAGCACCAAGGGTTTGTGACATCCCCATCCCAATATCCAGGCCAGCTCTCCTGGTGTGTGAGGGACATGCCACCAACCCCAGCAGTGCAAGCACAAGAACAGACTCATGTTTTTCACTGGTCAAGGCTCAATTCATCACTGTGCTTACCTGTGCACATCAGTTTCAGCACAGCTGATTGCTGGGACTTCAGTATAACCATTCACTCTTGTATATTCAAGCACTTACCTAAATAGATTCCCTAAACGGAGGTCTCCACAGCTGCATACATTGCAGGGATATGTGGCCCATCTACCTGTGTCTCATTCGTAGGTACTACACACATCTGAATTTTACAAAGTTATACCAAATCCCCAGCTTTTATCATCTCACAGGGAGAAAACCTAAACTCTTTTGCCACTTGAACAGACTTCTATGTCTTATTGCAAAGAGCTGTGCTTGATTATGGCAAAGTTGCAATTTGCCTGTGGACAGCAAGTCCCAAAAACACCTGCATCTCCATGAAACGCACGGAGCCCACTATCTCACTTTTTTTCTTTTAAATATCAAATCCTTAATGTCACTTTCAGTACACACAATCACTTTGTTTAATCAACCATGGTGGAAGAGAAGTCAACCAGTCTACTCTTGCCTTGAAGCTGAAAACTCACTTATGACAACATCATCTGAAGAAAACCAAGAAAGATGCCATCTTAAGACATTTACAGCAACATTAACCACATCAGTCAATTTTCTTCGGAGCTGTCAACACATCTCCAATTTATCAGAGACTTACTTGTCCTCCAAGAGGTTTTCTCCTGTGATCAGATTTTTCCCAGATGGTGCATAGTCCCAGTACTCTTCCACAATCCCGAGGTAGTAAGTTCTCGTCTTTGCTTCCACCACTGCAAACAGGCAGAGGAATCCAAGAGCACAAAGGCAGCCACCACGCTGGGCGGGAGGCATTTGTAGCTGTGATTGCAAGTCTGGCAGCGGGCAGGCAGCAGCAGGATGCACCACAGAGAGCTCACCCCTCCCTCCCAGCTCTCGACAAGTTATAAATAAGGAATGGACAGGGCAAAGCTCCTCCTTTTCAGCAGGTTAGGACTGGGATAGGTAGAGAGCCTGCCTATGCAGAGCAGGGCTAGGGAGGAGGTTGCTGTCATGGCAGGACCTTTGCCAATCCTTCGGTGAATGTGTAAATTGCTCACTCACCTGTCAGGCTGGAGCCAGTTGGTGTTTTTTGGAAGTTTGGATGCTCTTTTGTTATTCTTTTTCCAGCCTAGGTGGTGTGGCATACGGGGGCAGGGTTGGGTTGGTTGTTTGTAGGGTTTTTTTGTATTTTTGCCATTCCTGCCAAAATCTTTTTTTTAATTTTTATTGTAACTCTTTTATGATGTCTGACATTTCTGAAGCTAGCATCTTGCTGCCTTCATTGGGGTATTTTTAATGATGTAACACTAGCTTATAATCCAGCATTATCAGAGAGAGAGAAAGAAATTGCCAGTACCTCTTCAAGGGGGATTTTCTGACCCATTTATTAACACTGCAAGTGATCTGAACATATTCAGTTTTCAAGTGCCCAAAATGAGGCCCTTCTTTACAAACATTTCTGGAAATTAGAGCCCTTGTAAAGTCTTTCCAGTTGGACACTTAAGAATTGAGGCACACAAAGATGACCCTTTTATTAACCATGGTAATTAGTGTGCCCACGTAGCTCTCTAGAAAATCAGTCCCTCCCTTTACAGCTTAACTTCCTCCAAGAGGACATCTCTATTACCATTTTGGCAAAGCCAAATGCAAAACTATATGACTATGACCTGATAGGATATTCTAAACCACTTAGGAAACATCCCCAAAGAAATCTCTGAGGTGACAAGACACTTTGCAAAATCCTACTGCACTCTTACTAATTTTTAACCAACTAAAGACATAAGAAGTTGCAGTTCTGGAATACAGCATTATTCTTGAGACTCATTGTGAGCTTCAATAGTTGTGAAATTCCCCTTTCAGCTCCAGAACCATCTGACTTCTTCCTGTTGAAACTAATGGTTACTCATGGCTAGGGATGTAAGAGGCTTCAGAAATGAATTTGGTAGCCACAGTTTTAATGTCGTCAGTGAAGACCTCAGTGATGTGAATGTGGTTTTATGTAGCAGTTGCATGAGGTTCACCCTCTAACAAGCAACAGCAACAACTACATGTACAATCAGCTGTGCTGAACGCCTCTCTCCTTCACTGTGTGCAGGTGCCTGAAGCCACACAGAGAGTAACTCAAAAAGTAGATGAGGTTCACAGCAGCCCAATATCATTTAATTGACAAACATTGAGAAGGAGAAGTGATAGGACAATACCAATGTACAGAGATCCTGCTCCTGTATGTCAGGTATATGCCCCATCCCTGGCAGTGTCCAAGGCCAGGTTGGACAGAGCCTTGGGCAACATGGTCTAGGGTGAGGTGTTCCTGTCCATGGCAGGGGGTTGGAACTAGATGATCTTAAGGTCCTTTCCAACCCAAACCATTCTGTGATTCTATGATTCTATGATACTCAGAAGCAGCACTCACAGACTTCCTGATAACCTTGAAGACCTTGCTCGTCTCTTCATTTTTCTGCTGCAAACCATATGCTGCACAACCTCTTACGTCAATCTGTATTCTTTCTTCCAAAATATGGATGTTTAAATATTATCTTCCTTTTCCATTGCTTTGTTGTGTCATTTGGTTACTCAAACGATGCCAGCTAAAAGTACTGTGGTTCTAAAAGGCATCATTAAGAAAGCAAAATGAAAGACAATGACTGCAGGACAGGCAGAGGCACAGCTCTCAAACATGAAGCTGTGGTGGGACCGATGGGTCAGCTGGTGGGTTATGAGGCTGTGGAAAGGCCAAGGTGGCACTTGGAGGTTAACAGGTCCTCGCTGGGACCCTGCAGCCTCCTGTAGTGATTATTTCTGTTGCCCAGATTATCTGTCCCAAGCCCAGGTGAGCTACAGACTTCATCTCAGTCACTCAAGCACCCAAGTTTACTGAACTGGGTGCCTGTTATGCAAATACTCATTGTCATAAAGTAGTAAGGATTTTGCATTTGAATAGGAAATATGCTTATTTAGAGGGTAACATGCACTTTGAATGAAATCGTATAGAGTTCAGTTGCTAAATCAGCCATTTGCATAGAATTAGAGATATTTAAAGACCAGGTACAGGGCAAGTTTCATCCAGACAGTTCTGCTATGACCTTCTGCCTGTTTGCTTTTTTGTAACTAAAGAATTCTGTTATATGTTAAACATAAATAGATACATACATGGACTCACATAACTCAAATGCATTGAGCTAATGGGGAACAGGAAGGGGGAGTGTCCAATTCTGAGCTGGCACCTGACTTCACTATAGTCATTTAAATAATAATAGTGCTATGTCCTAGTTTTTCTATTGCTTCTCTTGTGCCCAGGATTGGATCCTGGTTGCTTTCTTGCTAGAATAACAATCCAAAATTCAAATAGGAAGTTAATTTCTTTGTCTATTACTGTAAAACTTATTTGTGTAACAGGAATAATCTGTGGGCATTAGCACCCTATATCAGCAATGTGTTGTAAGTCTGGTAAACGCCTTAGCTTGGCTTCAGCATTTACTAGATCTGGCAACTTGTATACCCTTTGCATCCACACATTAACACTTAATCACCTTGTCACATCATTTAACCCAGGCACATTTACATTCCGGAGAGGTGCTGTGGGCATGACTCAGAAAAAGATGAAAGAACAGCTATTTTGCCCTTGCATAAGGAAAATTTCTGGGAAGCTCCCCTCCAGCAGTGAGGTAATGGGATTAAGTGTGTCACTTTGTTCAGGATCCTTTCAGAAAAAGGCTTAGATACTGGCTCCTCTGAGACTTTCCGTCCCTCTGAAGGCTAAAATTAGTGCATGGTTGCATTTCGAAGTTTTGTAATGAGGAGCCATGTTCACAGGTCTGAAGAGCAAACATCTTGAGCACCAGTTTGTAAATGAGACCTGAAACATCACCAGTGGAGCTTTCTTTTTAAGCACATCTGGAATGATTGCAATAATTATCTTAAGTTAATCAACTAAGCCCAGACTTGGGCCAACTAGAATACCTAAGTTAACCTTGTGTTGGTCATAAGGTCAGTGAAGAGAGATGCTAGATGTGCTGATCTTCTGCAGTTCCTTGAAATTAGGTGACATAAGTTCACAGATAAGGACTTTATTCAGACAGCCTACTACTGAAACCCACCTTGCATTCTCCATTGAGCAGACCACGAGCTGATGTTCAAGAAGATTGACTACACTGTTCCCTCTGCTTCTTCTTGATAACAGTAGAGATCCCATTCATAGACATTCCTTCCTGGTCCCTCTGCTATGTTGGTTTGTGTGTTCATTGCAGTCCAGGTTGGGCAATTAGTCTGGCTGTTTCCAGCATAAGATTACCCTTAGCTGGTGTTGCCACCAATATGGAGCTCTGTCTGTAGTGACCATCCCAAGGTGACAAAGAGTGCCTGTGGTAAACCTGGGAACTGAGTTACACCCTCATAAATTTCTCACCAGTCTTTTAACCAAGCCATACTCTTCCTTCTCAGTTTTCCCACATTCTTCAACCACAAACACATATTAAATGCAAAAGCCTCATTGTACATTTGTGAAAAACAATTTCTATTGCACTTTCTAATCATTTTCTGAGCAGAAAGTAAACCTCATGTTATAATCTTGGATAGTCATACAAGGTGTATCTGAACTACTTTGATCTTGTGAGTTCACACTGGTAGGTTGGAAATCTCAAAAAACAGGTGCTCTCCAAGGCATCTATTTGCAATTCTGGATAGGACTTTGATGAGAAAGGCTTCCTTGCCATACACAGCACTTCCCAGGAGCAGCCCAACTCTGAGTGCTGAAACTGTTGGAAAGACAAGAAGGCTGCTATAATGCCAAGAATAACAAGGATCTGCAACCAGTGAGGATGTTGAAGGGCAGCTGTAGCCCATATTACAGGTGGCCCGGTGTGGAACTGACTCACATCTGCCCAGAAGTCTTTGTGGCAGGATGGAGACTGAACCCAGCCCTCCGGATTCCCACGTCAGAGCCCACATGGCTCTCCACCGTTGCCTTCCAGCCATTTGAGCTCAATACATGCACCCTGCTCAGGGTCACAATTGGGCATTTACCACAGTGGTTGCCTGGAGATCATCAGAGCAGAATAATTTTCTCTGCACATCTCTATGCAGACACTCTCCTTGCAGAACAGCTACTTTGGTACATGACAGTTGTAGACAAATCTTGAGTCAAGGTGTGAAATGGAAAAGAGGGGTCCTGCGATAACAGCAGCAGCCCACAGATCCTTTCTTTTCCATTATGGCCTTGAGCCAAAATCCTATATGCCACACCAACACAAAGGACAATCCTATAGCTGAATTCAGACTTTAGAGAAACTAATTATACACTGGAAAATAAAGACACTTAAATTCAAAGGTTGTAAATAATGAGAAGGAAGGCATTTAACAGTGTACTGAAAGGAGCTGCAAGTTTGAAGAGATTATACTAAATTGCCAAATAGGCTGGGCAAGTGAAATGCATTCAGCCACAAAAGCCATTAAAGCAAAGCTAAAAAAAGGGAAGTTTTGATCCTAATTAAGAGGAGAAGCTTGCATGTGGTAACTCATGTAATATCTGCACTGTTAAAACAAGGCTAATACCTCAACAGAACTTCAAGGTACATTATTTATGGGTTTCAGTGTTGCTACCTATTGTAGTACCTAACAAACATGAAAGAGCCTAACATTACATCATCTCTATGGGTCAGAGAGTGTTCATTAACCCTATTATACAAATAAGGAAAGAGAAAGGATAGGTAATGTCTAAGTGCTCTGACAGTAAAACAGCCTGGTCTCCCGGCTCCCCA